CTGAATATTCGCCCATCGGCGCGCTGCGCGCTAATTTTGCATCCGCCAATGGGTGAATATCTGGCCATCGGCGCGCCAAGCGCTACTTATTCATCCGCTGATGGGTACATGTCTGGCCATCGGCGCACTGCGCACTACTTGTGCACCCGCCGATGACTGAATATTCGCCCATCGGCGCGCTGCGCGCTAATTTCGCATCCGCCGATGGGTGAATATCTGGCCATCGGCGCGCCAAGCGCTACTTATGCATCCGCTGATGGGTAAATGTCTGGCCATCGGTGCATTGCGCACTATTTGTGCACTCGCCGATGACTGAATATTCGCCCATCGGCACGCTGCGCTACTTTCACACCCACTGATAGGTAAATATTTGGCCATTGGCACCCTGGGTGAACCCAAGAAATAACCATGAACCCCCCCTGTTTTTGCTGCCATAATTAGGCAATAACTAGTCAAGTGGGAGTGTCAGAACTGGGCGATTATGTCATTGCCCTGTACGGACTAATGGGGATATCATCACATGATCCCTCTATTATCTTGTAGTAATACGACATCTGATTACTCATGCTTAGTATACATGCTTACGCTCACAGTACCATAGGTCTTATAACGGTATCAGAGGTCCTGACTCACATGTATATATACTGGCCCTGTAGCACAGAATAAAGCAAGAGTTCAGTCGCACTTTAACATACAGATCTATCTTAAAAAATATTCCCAGCACCTCCGGAGGCAGATTGAAGTAGCAAAAGCGAATTAATCAAGCAGAGAACACATATTAACCAGGGTGCCATCATAGTATTCCTCTTGCCACTATTGTCAGCACGGGTAGCATGTACACGACGGTCAATGTCCTTCTGGTAGCTTGAAAATAAACCTTTTTTTTGCAGATGCAATTGTGTGTCGATTAGCAGTGTGGCTGGACAAAGTGAAATGGAACCAGTTATAAATGCTTGACTCTACATTACTGCATATCCTTCTGTGCGCGGGGCTATCAAAACTGATGTCGACCGAACGCTCACTCCTCGTTCACAATGATGACGCTCTTCCCGTGATTCTTGCCCCGCTGCACGTCGGAGATGGCGTGACCGGCCCACTCGAGGCCGCGCTTGGCATCCTCGATGTACTTGATCTCGCCCCGGGCAACCTTCCCGGGCACTTCGCGGTAGAACTCGTCACGGTACTTGGGCAGGAGCTGCATGATGAGAACGCCGTGGACGTGCAGCGAATTCCCGACAATGGCCATCAGGTTCTTGAGCGTGTACGGTGCCGCGTTGTACTGCGAGATCATGCCGCATTCCTGTGCTTGACGTCAACATATGCAGGCAGGGGGATGGAGAGGGGAGGAGACGTACGAGGAAGCGCGCACCGTTCGCGGCGTTAGCGAGTGCTGCGTCGAGGCTCTCTCCGCCAACGTTGTCCCAGTAGCTGAAGGTCACGGTACTTCAGCATCCAAACCGGCAAAGGGCTGCTGTTTTAACTCACATGTTGATCGGACCCTCTCTTTGTAGTACCTCCGAGGTGCTTGTGGTCTTGTAGTTGAATACGACGTCGGCCCCGATGCTCTTAACAAAGGCAACCTTTTCGTCCGAGCCTGCAGACGCGATGACTTTCAGGCCTTGCAACTTGGCAAGCTGGACGACGAACGACCCCACAGGTCCTGAACGCATGTGTGTCAGAATGCAGTCTTCAAAAGGGGAAGCAGACACTTACCAGAGGCAGTAGTAACAAACACGATGTCATCCTTTTTCGGTGCCGCATACTCCTTCCAACCTGTCCACGCGGTTTGGCCTGGTATACCAGCCACGCCGATATACGCAGTCCATGGCAAATTTTCCTCATTTTTCAGTAGGAGCAACTGGTCAACACTGGGGAAGACGGCGTAGTGTTGGAATGCTGTACACGAGCTTTAGTTTCAAGGCGGACCCGAGATGGACTGAAGAATGCTAGACGTACGGTACATGCCGAATAGATGGTCTCCTGGCTTTACCTTAGCATTTTCAGAGCGAAGGACGACGCTAACACCAAAGTTGGAGATCCTAGGCCATGCCTAGTTAGACTGTTCATGTACCGTGCTACGATGAACGTACGGCTCCCCTATCGCAAACGGAGCCTGTGAGACGTTCAGGTCAGGCTCACTTAACACGCCTATAAACTAGCTGCAGGGAGTACGTACACTGTAGCCCTTATTTGAGGGATCGCGCATTGCGTCTCGCAAGTATGGATCTATGCTGACAACCAGGATCTTGATGAGCACACCGCCGTTGAGGGGCATGCCATCGAGATCGATGGTTTGGGATTCGTCGTACACTGTGGTCTTTCCCGGTTCGGGATAGCCTACGCGCACCACAAGTCGGCGAAAGAGGTATGGGCTGCTTATCGTGTCACGTACCGGTTGGGACGTCATTGAAAAGAAGGCGGCCGTTCTTGATTGGAGCCATTGAGGAAGTGGTATGAGGGCGAGCGCTGATATCGACGTTGGGCCGAGTCTGTAGATGTTTTATAGCTCCTCGTCTGAGACACTCCAAAAATAAGACCCCTGACATCGGGTGGAGAGGCCTGATCCTGATTTTCGCCCGACCTAACCGTTTTATCCGCGCAAAATTTTGGCCCTCTGGCTCAAAAAAGTACGGATTTTCCTCCGGCCGGGTTTGGATGCGGTTTAGGCACCAAGCCTCTACATCTTCACTAACTCGCGCTGTTTTGCGCCCATAGGCACACCTGTAGTGCAAGTAACATTTCTATGTACAATAGACTAAGTTCTTGCCTCGCCTTTGCCACCATCTTTCGCTGCTGCTGCCGCCACCGCCACCTTCTCCCCTCGCTTCCGGAAAGTGTCGAGGGCCTTCACGGCAGCTTCGATAATCCTGGAACGGTAGAGAGTAGCGTTTAGCTTACAGAACACTTTGTATGCAGTGTTGACTTCACCAGGAAGGGTGCACAACAAATGATCGGATGGGGCATGAAGGAACAAGAGCGTCTGCAAAGACATGACGCGCTGATGAGCGGTACGAAACTGATTGAGCCCGAAGGCTTGTTCATACACCTGTACAATCATATTGGATAATAGACGTCGAGTAGCATACAATTGTATAGACACGAGAATATTTTGTTTTATTCGCGCCCTCGCTTGCATTCTTCGCTCTTATCTGCCGGTCGTAAACGAACGCGGACAGCGGTGCGGTCTGAATATCTGAATAGCCAGGAGAACGATTCCCGATTGAGGCATATCTTGTATTAAATACTGCACTAAATATGGAAAGGCTACCAATGTTGACAAAAAGTGTCTCAAAAGATTTTTAGACCTTAGGCATCAGCCAAACAGGGCTACCAACATGCCCCCAAAATCTTAGACTCGTTTACCAGCCACTCGCAGAGCTACCTCCGTTTCGGAAAGGGCGCGAACTTGCGAGCGCCCCTCAAAAATCCGTATACGAACGGTCCTTAGGCCCTGTAGGGCGGCCACTGGCACGGTACGGATTATTCCTCCGGCACCCCCGGGTTCAAGCCCGGTTTTAGATGCGGATTGCCTCAGGCCCCTTCGCCTAATGTCAGGGGTCCTCCAAAAATGCGTTTCAGTCTCTGCCCAGGAGTGCGTATCTCCCGCAGGCCGAAGAGCATTCACATGCCCAGCAATCATAAGCTTCGTACGACGACAGCATGCTAACTCCGCACACGTGCAAAAAATGAGAGTGATAGACGTCCGTAGGAATGCCAAATAAAGTTGCCGGCACTGCGCGGCGCGCGACACCAGTACAGATCACGCGCTCCAGGCGAGTCGTCTGTACTATGATGGCACCCTCGTTTATTAGTGTTCCCTGCTTTATTAATTTGCTTTTGCTACTTCAATCTGCCTCCGGAGGTGCTGGGAATATTTTTTAAGATAGCTCTGTATTCATGCTATAATATGATACCCATATCATGACATATATAAGGTGAAAGACGGTATGGTATTTTTGTAGATGCTCAGAAGCAGTCTAAAACTGGCTGAAACATGCTACTGATGGCTAGATCCAACCAGATCTCGCTCACCAAATATTCTTGCGACTACATTTATGAACTTGTGCACTTGCACTGAGCCTGGTAGGCTAATATATTTTGTTTTAAAAGTGCTAGGTACATGCACAGAGAAGGAACAGTTGTGGAGCGTTACAATGAACGGGCAAGGTGTGATGAAATTGTCACTCCGCCTGATCTCAGACACGGCAGGCAACGAGGGGCTCTCGACAGCAAGTCGCAACGATCCTACGCTCAGCAGTGCCACTGGAGGCTGTCAGTAATGCGC